GCAGGCAGGGGAGCTCAAGGAGCAGGGAGGGGTAACTAGGAGCTGTGTGCGGGCAGGGGGTAGCTCAGGGTCCAGGCAGGGGGTAGGTAGGGGCTGTGTGTGGGCAGGAGGCTCCCAGTGAGGCTCCCAACTTCATGCGGGGGGGGGCACTGGGGTTCCCAGGTTCAGCCATCCGCTGCTCCTGGCTTTGGGGGGAGCCCCCAGCTTCAGCCCTCCGCTGCTCCCAGCTTCAGCATTGGGGCTCGGGGGAACCGGGTTTCAGGCGTGGGGCTCTGCGGCCCCCCTGAATGGGCTTGCGGACCCCCCCCATTGAGAACTGCTGTTATAGAACATGGATACAGAGCTGCGGGGGGGAGGGAAAGAGGGAGGCGAGGAAGTCAAGACGCACTTGTCTCTGCATGCAGATACTGACTATGACAACTCCTCTCACCCTCATCCTGAGAGGGGCAAAATGAAGATAAACTGTGGCTAACATCACTTACCTTTTTTACAGTCCAGTTCTATGACGGAACACTCATTGATGCTTTTGTTACGGTGAATCTGACAGTCAAGCTTTCCAGTCACCTCTGTCACCAAAATAATCCACTTGCCATCATCCTCAATCTCAGTCAGATCCACAGGTTGTCCATTCAGCATCCAACAAAAGCGGAGACTGGAATGGTTAGCCCTCTCGCAAGGTAATTCTCCTCCCTCATTAATGTGGCCGGAAACATGAGCTGGGATTTGGGTTGGCTCTTGTCACACAAGATGGGAGTTAGGAAAACACGAGAGAAAACAGAGACAAGTTAACCAGACATGGCAATGAACGTGAACAAAAGTTGGTATTTCTGCCATTTGGACACAGACCACAACTGCATTTGCCATGTGTTAGTTTGCACAGAAATAAAAGATGGGAAAAAACGAGGTTCATCAATGCCGGTAATCCCTCCAACACCTGGCCATCCCTCTGAAATCCCACAATAGCTTGTCGCAACCCTGCAGTCCCACCAATTTCCATTTTCTTCTTCTGCAATCCCACAGTTATCTCTCCCAGTCCTTCAATCCTACCAGAGTCTGCCCACCCCAAGGCAATCCATCCAATAGTGCAGTGGTTCTCAACCCGCGGCCCAATCAGCACACATGCAGCCTAGGTGACATCCTCAGGACCATATAGGGAGTATATATATTGTGCGAATGTGGCCACATAACACATAGAGAGCTGCATATGCAGCCCACAGTGGTAAATAGGTTGAGAACCACTCCTTTTCCTCCTCTTGCAGCCTCACCAATGCCAGTTCCTCCTCCTTCAGTCTCAGCAGTGCCCATCAGCTCCCCAGCAACTGCAAGAGATCATTTGTGGGATACTCCCACCTGATCCTAATGGTCAAATCCTGCACAATGCTCCAAGAGAGGACAGAAACTTCCACGGTCCTGGTCAATATGCAACAGGAGAATATCCTTTCCGCACCCCATATCCGGTGATCAATTCAACCCTGTGCATGCGCTCAAACATCACTGTACAGTAGATAGCAACAGAGGGTCCTGTGGCACCTTTGAGACTAACAGAAGTATTGGGAGCATAAGCTTTCGTGGGTAAGAACCTCACTTCTTCAGATGCAAGTAATGGAAATCTCCAGAGGCAGGTATAAATCAGTATGGAGATAACGAGGTTAGTTGAATCAGGGAGGGTGAGGTGCTCTGCTAGCAGTGGAGGTGTGAACACCAAGGGAGGAGAAACTGCTTCTGTAGTTGGATAGCCATTCACAGTCTTTGTTTAATCCTGATCTGATGGTGTCAAATTTGCAAATGAACTGGAGCTCGGCAGTTTCTCTTTGGAGTCTGGTCCTGAAGTTTTTTTGCTGTAAGATGTCTACCTTTACATCTGCTATTGTGTGGCCAGGGAGGTTGAAGTGTTACCTGCCTGTTACCTGCCTGTTACCTGCCTCTGGAGATTTCCATTACTTGCATCTGAAGAAGTGAGGTTCTTACCCACGAAAGCTTATGCTCCCAATACTTCTGTTAGTCTCAAAGGTGCCACAGGACCCTCTGTTGCTTTTTACAGATTCAGACTAACACGGCTACCCCTCTGATACTGTACAGTAGATGAGTATCTAATGTCATTTACACCCTGAAATACTTCTGATGCCCAAGTTATTGGCTATTATTCTCTTGAATGCCATTAATTTGAGTTTCTCCAGTGGCACTGGAGCAACTCATTCCAGAGTCTGATTGCCCTCTGAGAAGAAAATCTGTCACATGAATGTAATTGAAACTCCTGGTTTGGTTTGGTTAATTTCCAGATGTGCCCACATTTTTCCATTGCTGATTAATTCAATTAACTATTTACCTGAATGGTCATGAGATATTGATTGGAACTCCTTCCAAAAGAATTGTAATTCCATCATACCAACAGCCCTTGATCTTGGAGACCTCTTATGAAATTACTTATTTGGACATCTCAAACCTTTAATTTCACAGCACCGTAAATATATATAGTACTCTTGAAGGAGAATTGACTCATTCTAGAGCTGGGCAAACAATAGGCAGTAATTTATTCCTCACCTCTTCTTCTGTTCACATATTGCCTGCAAACTGATGATCATTCTCTTGAATGTTCCAGATTCTGCATTCAAAATTATTTGTAGCATAAACTCTGAATAATTTCTGGCCTGTAGCTTGCAGTTTGTTGAGAGTATTTGAAATTTGAGCTGTGTTGGTTATGTTAATCAGACCTTTCTCAAATCTCCCTCATTCTGATAGATGTCATTCATCTTAATTTACCTACATTTCACCCAAATTTGGAGTCTCTTCGGTTTTCTTGTTGAAATTTTTTTATTTCGGAAATAAAGAATCATGAAACCGAGATTATCAAAAGAGTTCTTTACACTAAATAAATGAATCCCAGATCATTTTAAGTTTCCCAAGTGAATACATTTGTGTCTCCATCAGTTTGGCCCATGACAATAGATTATTTTCTATAGTTGAGCCATGGCAGGTAGTGAAGTATGGACTAGACATACAAGTCACATGGTATATTTCTGTTCCCTGACTATGTAAGTAACTCACACATAGCTGTCTGGTGTGAATATTCATGTTCACAAGCTCAAAATTCACTTTCCTTGAATACTATCCAATATTCACCTAAAAGACATTGCACCTATGAGCATTCCTGCCAGTAAATTCTTTCACTAGATGTGTGGCAAGTGAACACATAAGGGTTGTAAACACACGAAAGCAAATGGATTTAAATATAGGAAAAAGTAGGCCTGAACATTTTCTGAACGATTTGCCCAATTCTCATCTAAGCCCTTTGGGCCAAGGAGCCCTGTCTTTGACCAGCTCTCAGCTGGAGTTCTGCTTGTCTGCACTTGGCTGGCATTAAGTTTAATTTGTCTTCACTGAGATCAGGCCACTTTGACATTTTCATTATAATCCCATAAACTCCATTTCCTCTTAAAAAACCTGGGACGTTGTAAAGTAAATGCAGCGTAGAACAGGACCTGAGAGAATGTGATGCAAGGTACCAGCCTATCTGAATCCTTGAGGGGACAGTGCAAGGTGCCAGAATGACAGTCCTGGAGACTGAAGTCCTCAGTTTATCTATGGTACTGGTATAAAGTGGGCAATGGCAGTGCAAGCCTCCCCACACTACCCCACTGATGGGCTGGAGTCACCTATAGGCTAAGTGAGCTTGCACCAGCCGGGAGATTCCCTGTGTGAGGAGAAGCACCACTGACGTAAAGCTTTGTCGCTTTGCCGCTTCCCACACCAGCTCTGCTATCTCCTATGCCAGAGCTGTGCCAACCAGTGAACAAAGGGAGCGGGAAGGTTGGGACAGAGGGCATGGTGGAGCAAAGGGCCACTATGACCAACTTCTAAGTGGTATAATACCCCTGAGGGACCTGATGTCATCAGCATAAGTTAAACCTGCACACTGGGGGTCAACAGTTGAGAATCAGGGAGTGGCAACAGCATCCTTGTCAGACCCTTTCTCCATTGCACTGAGCAGCTGAGAAACAAGCCCAGGTGTATCTCAAACCTGACCCGGAGAGACCAGCTCTTGGGGGTGAGAAGAGAGTTCAGTCATCGTCATCCAGCCAGTCCTTAGCCTACCAGGCGAGATTGCCAGCAAGGGGTCAATTAGTGCCAACAGTGGCGATGGTTTTGTGACAGCTGCCACCTGTCCCACTATGGAAATGGACTAAAATCCACAACTCCGTGCCTAAAATCTGCTCTCCAGAAACACACAACCCACACTGCTGTCTCTGAAGTCAGGGGGTGAAGGCATCTTCTCCCAGCACCTTTATGCTCTCAGTGGGCTCAAAGGATATGGGAAGTTGGCAAAGTGGATGCAAAAAATATCCTTTTGTTTGCATGCAACACTATGGCATTCTGCAGAGCTGAAGACCTACAAACTGTGTTTGCTAATCCAGAGACCCCTACAGCTACTGAGAGCCAAACTGACATCTTGGAAAGAACTGATCCTTCATTTAAGCTCTCAGATTCAAGAATGATTGATTCCAAACAAGGGTCACTTACCAGACACTTTCAGTAAGAAAGATTTTTTGCTTGTGTTTGTAAGAGCAAATTCATACTTTCCTTCATTCTTCCTTGACACATTCTTCAGTTGCAGAGATCTGCTCTGCAAGCACATAATCTTGTTACAATAAGTGTCACATTCTGTAGACGAAGTATCATAAGGCGTGGGCTTCACACATGGGTCATCTCCCCAGGTTACCCTAGCGAGATTTTTTAGGCTTTGAATTCCCAAAGGAAAGTTGACTGAGCCATCAATGATTCCATTGACAGTGTTTGCTTCCTCATTAATGTGGCCCGCAGCAACAATAATAAAACACAGTCACTGATTTTATTGCATGTCCATCCATTGGTTCTGATCTGGCTGACTCACAAAAGGCAAAACTCCAGATAAGACATAAAAATGGTAAATTGGATCACAGTGGGAAGGTGGGAGAGGGGAAGAGAGGGGGTTAAACCTGAAGTGAAGGCTAACTCTGCTATCCTGCAAAGATCAAGGCAAGGGGCACACCATAAAGCCAGAACTACAGAGACAAAGACATGAGCATACCCTCTTCTTTTCCTCTTAAGTTCCTACCTCCAACAGCTCCACCTCTCAGAGCTTAGAGGCTGAGACAGTATATAGAGTCCAACACTCAGAAGGCTAACTGGGACCAGTTCATGAATTAAATGAGCCATAGTACATATGGCAGTAAAAATAACTTACACCAATATAGCACCGTTCATCTGAGGATTTCAAAGGCTTTTGCAAACATGAATCAATTAAGGCTCACATTGTCCCTTTGCATAGGTCACTACCACTATCAATGGAGGGACATAGTGGCTATTGCTAAATGACTTGCCCAAGGTCATATGGAGAGTTGGGTCTAGAACCTCAGAGTCCCACATTCCCACCTCCTGCTTTAACCAGCATGCCACATACAAAGCCTCCGAGGCAATCATTTTCAGCTGCGTTCAAGGCTGCAGTATATCAAGGCAATAATGCATTGTTAGTTATTACTAATTTATAAAAAAATCTGTCTTACTTTGGTCTGATGGCCCCTTTTCGTGCTTTAGCGCTTACAACACTTGATACTTCCCAATGCCCGGTGGTGACCTTACAAAGGTATCCGAGCAAAATGAAGGTTTCCGCTCACCTGGGCGAATCTGTGCTAGTTTCATAAAGAAAACCCCACACTTACCATTAATCATGATTATTATCACCAGCACGCACTGCAGGGTAAAAGGAGATTTGAAATCCATTTTAAGGAGCTTTTTGCATCGTCTGTTAAGAACAGGATCTGGCTACACGGCTAAACGAATCTGCTGCTCAGGAAATGATGTCAGAAGCAGGAACAAAAAAAATCAACACACCCATACTGAATAATGTATCAGAATAGATCTTCAAGGTTCCAGGTGGCTGAACTCATGCTGCAGTGACATGAGCCATGATCTGCTTGCCAGGCCCCGCATCCAGGAGCTGGGTGTGTGTCAGAATGGGATTCAGAAAGGGAGGAGAAAGGACTCTCCCAGCCATCTGATCAGATTTAGGAAGAAGCCAGTGTAAAGCCTCTCATGAGCAAAGGAGGAAACACCTGTTTCCCTCACTCCCTTGTTCTTTTTCAGTCTTTGGTTGATTGGTTTAAAGTGCAGCTCAGAAAAGAATGGCTATGGTCAAAGAAAGCAATCTGTACAACCACACCCTGTTTTTCAGAGGTATTGAGCACCAACAACTGCCACTGCAATCAGTGGGAGATGTGGGAGAGGCCATCTTTGAAGATCAGGCCAGCACTGTGAGCTTGAACTTCATGGTGTTCTCTCAGGGACAGACTCTTTTGTCAGTGCCACAGGAGAAATATATCATGCCTGAATGGGCCATGCACAACCCCCAGTGGAGACTGATACCTACAGGAAGCTGAGGTGGGTTGATAAGGAAACCCACCAGGCTGGTGCTTGGTCATGCAGTGTTTGATTTGATATGACTGGCAGAGAGGAGACCGAGAGAGAATCAGTGTGTAATAACGTCTGGAGTTCAATGCTGTCTCACGTAGGAGTCTGTCCGGATTCTGTAGTATGCAGGCTGGAATTTTAGGAACATGCTGCATTACCTAAACAGTGGTAATATAAACCAGCTGTCTACATGCCACAGCAAAGGGTTTAGACCTGCTCCCCTGGTCCCAGCCCTCATCCAGGTGTCAGTGGGCCAGATCCTCAGCTGATGTCATTGCTAGAAATAGAGCTACACTTATTTACCCCATTTGAAAATACAGCCCGCTAGTAACATTTAAGATCAGCCCAATCTCACCCACTTGGGGGGAGGGAGGATCTCTTGGCAAAGTATCGAAACTCAAATTTTTAAGGTACACTTGGGTCGCAGTGAGATTAGGACATGACTTCAGAGTACAACTGGAATGCAGCACTCCTCAACGTTGCTTAACTTCATACAAAGCACACACGTCTCATTTGGCTTGGTCAGGGTAATCTGAAGGCAGTTGTGAGGGGTGGATTTGTGGATATTTTGTGTGTGTTTCGGTGAGACATTTAAAATCACACCCATTATTGTTTAAACTCTTACCATACTCGACTATCCCAGCTTGACTGCTCAGCATCCTGGCCTCTTGTTTTGTTTCCCTCTTAGCAATGTCAGTTAAAGTCAGTTCTCAGTTATCTGTATCCAAAATCTGCAAAATGGCTCAAGGCCACAGCAGCTTCATCCTGTCACTATCATAGGCGCATAGAACAGACCCGAACTGATCTATGACATGACAGAAATAGCCCTCTCTGAGAAGAGCAGTGATGTGCGTCTTCAGACACCCGCAGTGATGGGGAGAGGGGAGAAAGGCATTTACAGTAAGCACTACCCTTTCATTTCCTGCTGTGCTGCTAAAATTAATTGACGAAAATGTCATTTGCAGACTTAGGGTTACATATCATCCTCAGATGCTCACTTTCCGTCCCCAGGGTATATTTTTGCCCTTACGTTTTGGGGCTGCCTGCCTGGTTGCTGTCTTTTTTGCTATTCTAGAGGCAAGAGAGAGGGAGGGTGGAGGGGGATTAAGAATGGAATACTGAAAAGATCAGAATGCTAGAAAAAAACTCCCAGGCAAAAATCTTCTAATTCTGGGGAGTCAGGAAAAGGATCATGCAGATTTAGGGCGTCATTATCCTCTCAGTCACATCAGGGCAACCCTACTGAGATCATGTAGAGATTTACAGAGAAAAAAATGGCCTTCTGATTGCAGCTAGACTGTTAGAAAAGTGACTCTGTGACTGTGACATTGCAGTATCCTGTCTTCAGTCTGTCTTGATGATTCCAGATCACATGAGTTCCATTTATGAATCCAAATGGTGATATTTCTAACTGCCCCATTCATCACCCAGCATGTGGGCTCTTTCTGCCTCTTGCTGCAGCTAGAACGGAGATAATGATGCTGTTGACTGTACACAGGGCAGGACAGGCTGCAGCTTGATGTGTTGTATAAACCATCTCCAACCCCCTCAACTCCCAGTCGTCCCTGTCCCCCCCCCAAACAACTTCCTTTTGAATTAAATGGCTTGATTTTGTTTCCAAAGACCTACACATTATCATACTTTAAATATTTCAGAAGGTGGTGAACACACTACCAAAAGATTCTTCTCAGTACAATGATCATAATGAGCAATTATCTCAGCCTTTGCATCTTCAGACATTAACTAACAAATCCTCTGAAGTTAGAACCTCTCAGAGAAGGCACTTCCCCTTTTTGTGTACAGGCACTGAAGGCTTTATATATGTATTAAAAAAAAACCCTATTGAGGTTTCACATCATTAACAGAAACCACACCTAGATGTAAAAATGAAAAATATATACATTTTGAAGGTGAACTGAAACAGTTACCTGCCAAGACCTAAGTTCAACGTTCCATTTTCTCCTTCCAGAGCTGGGAGCATCACTAACCACTATAGCAGAGAAAGGAGCTTGGTTCCTTTCATTACATTAGGAGTGGGTGGGGAAAGGGAAAGATAGAGGCCTAAATTCTGATCTAAGCAGGTTCGAAAAGGAGGAAATAAGGCTCAGATATTTTGATATATAAATGTACTTATTTGAGAATGCTAACTCTGCACATCTATTCTCTTTAATGAGTCGGGATCTGATTTTGATTATTATTATTAATGTATTTCAGATCACCATTAATTGGGGATATATTTTTAGAGCACCAGTCCTCTGGAACTCACTCCTATTAAAGTTAATCATGAAACCAGAGGGCAGGAAAAGTGGGTGGGTCTGCCAGAGAAGCAGATCTCTCTGCATGGGGACAGCACAACCAATTCCTAGCTGGAACAGAAGAGATTGCACCAAGGGAAGCTGAGTGTGGGAATAGTGAATCAAAAGGAGAGGCTGCCTTTGGAGATAGTACAGACAGACATGGGACTGCAGGCCTCTACCACCTCCCTGCTAGATGGGGATATTATACCCCTTTGAGCGATGGGAATCAGGACCAGTCATCTCAAGAGCTCTTCATTAGCAACTGGTTGTATTAAGAAAGTAGTTATCAATGGTTCACTGTCAAACTGGGAAGACATACTGAATGGGGTGCTGCAGGGTCGGTCTTTCAATAATTTTGACACCATTCAATAATTTTGTTAACAACTTGGATGACAGGAGAATATACTTATAAAACTTGCAGATGACACCAGGCTGGGAGGGGTTGCATGCACTTTGGAGGACAAGATTAGAACTGAAAATGATAAATTGGAGAATTGGTCTGAAATCAACAAGATGAAATTCTATCAGGATGTGCAAAGTACCACACTTAGGGGGAAAAAATGAAGTGCACAAATACAAAATACAGAATAGTGGGCTAGGCGGTAGTATTGCAGAAAAGGATGTGGGATTATAGTGGATCGCAAACTGAATATATGAAGCTGCTTTGAAAAAGACAAATGTCATTCTGGGGTGTGTTAACAGGAGCGTTGTAAATAAGACATAGTATGCAATTGTTCCACTCCACTTGGCACTGGTGCTGGAGTACAGTGCCAATTTTGGGCTCCACACTTGAAGAAAGATGTATATAAATTGGAGAGAGTGAGGGGTTAGCACCACCATGTTGCACAAAGGACACTTGACAAAATTACCGTACTAAGTGACAGACATTGGTGTGGGGGAGAGGTGTGTGTGGTTATGTCATTCAGTCATTCAACTTTTTGAAAAATTACCACAGACCTCAAAATATTTACCACGGACACTTGTGTCCATGTACAGACACATTACTGACCCCTGGAGAGAGTCCAGAGGTGAGCAACAACAACAACAACAAAAAGAGGTTAAAAAACTGTGCATGTTTAGTCTTGAGAAGAGACGCCTGAGTGGAAACAAGATAAGTCTTCAAATATGTAAAAGGTTGTTATAAAGAGGATAGTGAGCAATTGTTTTCCATATCTACCAAGGATAGGACAAGAGGTAATTGGCTTAGTTTGCAGTAAGGGAGATTTAGGTTAGATATTAGGAACAACTAACTATGAGGATAGTTAAGCACTGGACCAGGTTAGCTGCGGAGGGTGTGGAATCTCTGTTACTGGACGTTTTAAAGAATAGGTTAGACAAACACCTGTCAGGATGGTCTAAGGGCTTATCTAAACTGCTCCACAGTTCAGACAATGGGGGTGTGAATAGCAAAGTGCTGTGCTGTAACCCCCCTGTGTGGATGCTGTCAGTGCAAACTTAAAGATAGGACTACTTCAGTGCGAACAAGGGACCTTTAAGTTTGCACTCACATCGTCAACACAGGGAAGTTACAGCGTGGCACTTCGGTGCACACTGTTATTCATACCCCTGTTGCCTGAACTGCGGGGCAATATAGACATGCCCTAGGTATACTTAGTCCTGCCTCAGGACTAGACAAGATGACTGGGCTGGGCTAGATGACCTCTTGAGGTCCCTTCCAGCCCTACGTCACTATGATTCTATTTTATGGAGATCTTTGCATCCTGGCAGGGAAACTGTAAGTGTTCCTTCTCCTTCCCCCAAGCTTCTGCTCTACGTTTGTTCCTGCTGTGGTCAATGCAGCCAGTTCCAGGGTAGTGTCAGACTCCTTCTCTCCAGGTGCGGGGGGTGAAAGAAAGAATATAGTGAGAGACTGAAGGGGGGAGAAGGCATATTCAGGATTCCAACAGAGAGCAACCAACTGTAGGGTGAAGTGGGGGTGGGGGAAGCGAATGAATTCTTGTTTTTTATTTTATTCTTAAAATAATGAGGTAAAGGCACCTACTCAGGTTTCTGAACACTTCCTGGAGGTAGGGAATCATGAACCATATACACTTTTCTGGGTTATAACCACAGAGCTGCATGCGGAGAAGGCAATAAAATGCCCGCTATGCATTTTGGCCCTTTTGCTGTGCAATTTGGAGATCTTGGCTACACTTTGTGGTGTCTAG